ACACATCTAATGCCAGAGTTATTCTTGTGGGGGACTTTAAACTGCCTGACATCAACTGGGAATCAATGAAATACAACAGCGCCTGCTCAGAAATAATTTACGATTTAATTCTTTCTTTAAACCCCTCACACATAGTGACGCAGCCTACGCGTGTACAGGGACACAACTCGAGTAGTGCTGGACTTAATCTTTCTCACTGATAACTTTCCGGTACATGAAGCAACGATAGAACTTCCAGACGGCATTTCGGACCATAAAATAACTTATTGTAGGATACTTATAAAGGACAGTAAAACGCCTGCATACGCAGAGGAAACATTTCCAGACTTTTGTAATGCCGATGACGTAGCAATACACAACTTACTGTTCGACGTATTTCCATCATTTCAAGAATTAGCCTCTCACTTCACTGCGACTATAGAAATGTTGTGGCATAAAATCAAAGACATTGTTCTTTTTTGCTTACAAAACCACGTTCCTTCGAAGAAAAAAAAAGACCAGAAAGATGAATCCATGGGTCACACGTGTCGTTATACATGCTAAGAGATAGGTGAAGCGTTTGAGGAAAAATCTGAGAAAGCAAATATTTATAGCCGACAAAATCTGAGCGCAGGTATAACTGACATGAAAAATAAAATAAAGGCCGCCAAGTCTACTTATTTTGAAAAAAACTCTACCTCAGTTCATAAAAAGTTCCCCGACGAAATTTTGGCAGTACATTAATCCTAAGGTCCGTAAAATGACCCACGAAGCGCCTGAAGAAAATGCCTATTCCGCAAATGTATACATAGCTATTTCCAATCAATTTTTACAGCTGACGACGGAAAACAACCTCACGTAGAAATTAGAGAAGAGAAATTTATTAAGCGATTATTCGTTTCAAAAGAGGGAGTTTTCAACTTACTATTGAAGTTAGATGGCAAAAAAAGTTCCGGACCAGACAACATACCTAACGCCTTTTTAAAAACATACGCCGAATGGGTAACAAAATACCTGTGCCTGCTTTTTAACCAATCATTGTCGTCGCGTACCCTGCCAATGGATTGGAAAATTGAAAAAATGATTCCTCCACATAAGTGCGGAAATAAAAACGAACCTTCCAATTATCGGCCCATCTCATTAACATGTACGGTTGGTAAACTGCTCGAAGATATAATCTTAAAGCACATAACGAAACACCTATAAGAACACAAAATACTGTCCCTTTTCAACATGGCTTGCGCCAGGGCATGTCTAACGTAGCACAACTCATTGAAATGGTGAATGACGCCTCATTAAGCATCGATCGCCAAAAGCAAATTGATCTTATTCTGCTAGATTTCTCGAAATCGTTTGATCGGGTGTCGCACAGCAAACTCATCTTGAAACTCAACTTCTTCTAGGCAAGGGCCAAATTGTTGTCTGGATTACTAACTTCCTAACAGACAGGTCGCAGTTCGTGGAATCAAACCATGTCCAGTCTTCAATCGTACCGGTGACCTCTGGCGTACCACAAGGCAGTGTTTTGGCGCCGGTATTATTCTTAATTTTCGTGAACGATCTTCCGTCATCTGTTAATGTTTGATGCAGATTATTTGCAGATGAATGCATCCTGTACAAAGAAATCCACTCACAGCGATGACCATGTCGCCTTAAATACAGCGCTAGACGCAATTTAGGACTGGTGCAGTGATTGGCAAATGAACATCAACGAAAAAAGTCCGTGCTCTTATTTATAAATAAAAAAAAGAATCCATCCAATTTCAATTACGTCATCAATTCAGCTATCCTTTCTAAAGTCACGAAACATAAGTATCTAGGGGTCATTCTGTCACATGACCTACGATGGGACGCTCATAATCATTACATCACTTCATCTGCGCTGAAAAGACTGTTATTTATAAAAAGGCGGTTACAGCAAGCACCACCACACACAAAGTTACTGGCCTACAATACATCTATACGACCCATCCTGGAGTACGCAAACACTGCCTGGTCCCCGTACACAAAAAAACTAACCAGCAAGCTCGAAGGTGTTCAACTAAAAGTGCTTAGGGTCATCTTATACAAATTTAACTGAACAGATTCACCTACGGAGCTGCTTAAAGAGCTTGACTACTAACCATAAAAAACCGGGCGATGTTGGCACGCTTAAACCTGATGTACCAACTGTTACATGGTCAACAAAACATAGACAAGTCCCGCTACATAAAGTAATCCGCAGCAAGAACTACCCACCACAAATACTCTCATACCCTTGCCTCTTACAGATTTCACACAGATGCCTTCAAATTCTCGTTCTTCCCGCTTGCGATCAGAGAATGGATTAACCTGTCCCCCTCCATTACCAGTAGCACATCCTTAGCCACCTTCAGAAAACTAGTAGAAAGCGGCTTGATAGCCTCCCAAACACAATATGGTGCTATGTGATCTTTCTTGTTATTTAAGTAAAGTGTCAATATGATTGTACTTTGACAAATGTGTTTTTGTATGATTTATTTTTTGTTATTGTTTTGTTATTTTTTTCTTAATATTTTTTCCTTTCAATATACTGTACCTAATCACTGCCTTAGATTGTCCACCTGTTATAATCCCTCTGGGATTAAGAGTATGTATAAATAAATAAATACTATGGTTAGTATATATTGCAGGAAATATACCATGGTTAGTACTAACTCGAATGCTTATTTCATGACGAAGTTGGCGACAAGGCCTGTCGCAGTGGTCTAGTGGCTAAGGTACTCGGCTGCTAACCAGCAGGTCGTGGTATCGAATCTCGGCTGCGGCGGCTGCATTTCCGATTGAGGCGGAAATGTTGTAATCTCGTGTGCTCAGATGTGGGCGCGCGCTAAAGAACCCCAGGGTGGTAGAAATTTCTGGAGCCCTCCACTAAGGCGTCTCACATAATCATATGGTGTTTTGAGACGTTAAACACCACATATAAATCAAATCAATTGAAGTTGGCGATAACCGCACTAAAACGTAGTACCTAGTGAACCACAAATCAATATCAAGATGTAGGAACACACACATGCACGCAAGATAATAGGGCTGCTATTAGCGTCTGATTTACTTTGAGCTTGATGACGGCTGTTTATGCCCCTGTTTTGCGGTACCCGCATCCTACATATTAACCACCATATAATTTAGAAGTATTATCGATGTTTCGTACCCAGTACCTTGTGCCCTACAGTTTGCACCTATGCCTGCAATAACTTAGAACAAAGATGTAATTTCAACTTAATCAATGAAAATAATTCTAGTTTGTTAAAATTTTCAATCACACTGTCACAATTCCGGCATAATGTACAATGACATATACAAAACATCTGCCAACTTTCGTTGCTTAGTAGTTCCCTAGTAGTTGGAATCACTGAATAAGGTTTCCAGTTTAGTAACGGCAACATTTACAATCTTTTCTTGCGGCTGCCTAGTGATGAGATGACGCCAGGGTGCACAGTGGGATACTCTTGGAGCGGGTAAATCCACGCGGTTACTAACTTTTTAGTTACCTATCGGAAGCATGCACGGCTTTTACACTCATTAAACATTGCATAAAATTCGCGTGACTGAATGTAGCAGCTACCAAATGCAATATACATAATTATTTTAAATCAACATTTATAACGCCTTCCCGATCTTGCTGGTGGCCTTTGGTCTATACTCACAAATCGAAGCTCAATTATTCAGAGCTAGGTAATGCATGGACTTTCCTTTCCAGCCTGTGTAGCTCATGTCATATGGGCGTATATTTTTTACGAGAGCCTTAACACCAATGACCTTTCCCTCATATGTCTATTCTGCAGCGGCATAACGAGGTTGCACGAGTGGCTGCACATATCAGTTGACATTCTAAAAAAATCGGCAGCATATCCACGGAGTGAATGATGGAGAGTGGGGCAAAGCATTCGTCCGTTCATTCGTTCTTGCTTCCGTCCGTCCATGCGTCCGTCTGTGTGACCATTCATGCGTCCATCCACCCGTCCGTGCGTGCGTCTCTTCGTGCGTCCATCCCTGCGTTCATCCATGCATCCGCGCCTGCGTCCGTTCATGCGTCTATCCATGCATCTGTCTCTGTGTGCGTTCGTCCATCTACTCAACACTCCAAGTACCACCATCTCGCATCTTTTCATCATATATTCACCGTATAGAAGCACGGTCATACAGCGGACATTCCAAAGACTAAACGAGAGGTGGCACACTCACACTTTTTTACGGCTTGCGCTTCGGGTCTACTTCCCACCTTTAACCACCTCAAATTCATGGTATATACTAGTTCTCTGTATTCATGGCACAGTGGCCCAACGCTCTCTAAACCCTTTCTAAAACTAAGGAGGTTACGCCCAGCGAGTATAACGTAGCAACATTTTCCTGTCAGATAGCGCTCAATGCACATGCCAATGGCTGCTAATGGGAAATGAGAGACGAGAATTCGGCTTTTACTTTCCTACGGCTAGCGCTTCGTATCTACTTCCCACCTTTAACCACCTCGAGTTCACTCATGGTATATACTAGTTCATTGTATTCATGGCACTGCGGCTCCACGCTCGCTAAAACTTTCTATAACTAAGGAGGTTACACAAAGCGAGTGTAACGTAGCAACCCTTTGTTGTCAGATAGTGCTCAATGTACATGCCGATGGCTGCTAATAGAGATTGCAGCGTGCGCGTTAACTGAAAGCTGTAATGCTCCTGTCTCTCATTCCCCAATAACAGCCATTGGCATGAACATTGTGCACGATTTTTTATTGTTCAACAACGCACAGAAGAACTCTCCCACCAGCACCACCTTGAGTGTGAAAATGTTATACTTGTTACATACAACAACGGCTACGAGGGACGAACGGGTGCCACTATAAAGAGCTTCGCCCCTGAAAAGTGATGTCTAGTTTCAATGTACGAGTACTGTTTGTCTTCACGTAACTTGGCAGACCTAAGTTTCGGAGGTATGCATGCGTTATGGTTTGAAGCCGATCGATGTGGAGGAAATGGGATGGAAAGCTTAATGAATATTTGCCTTACCTCGACAACTAACATCAGCTGCGGGATGATGGCGATATCGGCAAGTGTCAGCTTGTCACCGACCGCGAACTTTCCTTCACCGGTGATCTTCTCGATACCTTTGACGACGTTGTCTTCGTATGCAGTCAGCTCTTCAGCGCTGGGCTTTGTCTTCAGCAGTATGCGAGGTCTCTGCGATTGAAGCGAAGTCTTAATCTTCACACCATAGCAAGACTGTAATACCATATCCTTGTTGAGTTATTGAGTTTTTTAAAAATATTGTCACATACTTTTTTTCAGATACATTTCAATTTCTATGTAGAAAGCAACGCGAAGCTACCAAAATAGTAAAAAAATGAATTGTGTTATGGTATTAGAAGTGACATATTGTGGAATCACCTTGCTATCTGCAATTCACTTTTATGCCTGCTTTGACAATGCTTTGAACAGGTAGTTAATGACAGCGTTTCAGCGAGCTTCTAAGCTCAAGTGTCTCGACTTATGGCTTCTGGTTTTCCCTAGCTGTTCATCGCATCTGTCACTGAATCTGTCCTCCGGACTAGTAAGGCAAAGCAAAAACATGGAGATCTGAGTAACACGAAAAAACAGCGCGATAGCACAGTTGCTTTTCGGTGGAAGCACTAGATATCTCATAGGCTCAAGAAAATTTGAAAAAGTTTGGGCGTTCGTGTGCTGTTTTCTGCACCATTCCAATCAATCAGTCTTACTAAATCGAGAAACCCCCCTCAAAACGCAGTCTTCTACTGAATGTGCAGTTAAATTTAAAACAAGGTATGTGCAATGTTCCCGGGAATTGGTCTATAGGGTTCTCCTTTTCTGTGATGCACGCTTGTCAGACAGACTGGAAGGTGTCCGAACAACCGAATGAAGCAACATGCTCATAATTTTATAAACGGCAAATATGAGTTTCTTGCAGAGCATTGCACTGGGTGCAAACTGTACGCCTCATTTAGAAGACACAGTGACGCTAAATAAGCAAAGAGTCAAGGTTCCTCGAAAGTATCGACGCACGCAAGTTGTGACAGCTTTTAGTCTTCAATATCGTTCCTTGGATTTCTTTCTTGCTTTAGATTTTGTATTTTTTCAATACTCATCTTTGCATTGTTAATCTTTCAGCACATTGTTTTTTGTCTCCTTCATATGTTTTCGTGCTCTGCACAATAAACTCAGTTGTAAGTTAGCGCTCGTCTTGTTGTCTTATTGTCGTAGTTCTGAGCTCGCACCATGACAATTATCAGCATGCAAAGTCTGGCATTTCTTTAGGGACATTGTTGTCATGATTCAACCCTGCAAGAAGCTACCATTTTACAAGCCCTTCACGCCGATGGGGCCATTGTGCTTGTAGGCTCGGCAGAGGAGCACTAGTTTTGATCAAGATTTCTGAACTTCAAATCGACTGCACCTCACACTGTACCTGACACAGTAAATTCAGCTAAGTTAGGCTTTATGGTCTTTTTGAAGGTAAGAAATAAGAAAGAGATAACAATCTCAATTCGAGATAACTTATGTATCCAGGGTGACGTAAACTGAGACAAAAAATAGTTCTGTTAGCGGCCGAATTACCTAATAATAAATACTGAACATTTTAGTCACTATCGCAAGTAAGCGTGTTTCTGGTGAAAAGTTTGAAACCATGACAATCCTGTGCAGTTTCACTTGAAAAAAGCCACCCTTCTCTTCATCGCTTATGGCTAGGAGTGGCATTTACAAAATCTTATTCCTTTGTCATAGGAATGGCCGACAACGCTCTCTGCAATGCCTGTCATTGCGCAGAGATGCTACACCACATCCTGTGTGACTGTCCGTTGTATGAAATCCTGAGACAGTCACTGGCGTCCACTTTTGCGCGCATCGACAACAGCCAAATCTCCTGTAGACACTATTCGGTCACGTGCCCGAGAGAAGACAGTGCAAGAGAAGGCGACGAAAGCTCTGTTGAAATTCCTACGCGACACGGACTTGAACAAGCGACTGTAACAGCAACGTCACACACCGCGAAAGACAAGACTGGACTATGAGTGTGCGCGCGTGTGCTGCCGAATGTGCTGTGTTTTCTCTCTCCCTCTCTGCTCTCTATGTTTCATCTCCTCCATTCCTCTCCGATGCGCAGGGTAGCAAACCTGCTGCCTATAGACTGGTTAACCTCCCTGCCGTTCTTTTCCCCCTGTTTGCCTTCCTGTCTTCACTTGAAAACATTGTCTTCTAACGTTTTTGTACAGGGAGATATTGGGCTGCAACACCTAATTTCGGTATTTTTATAACGCACGCACAGCGCATTGTACTTTGATAATGTGACGAAAAGCAATACCTTGTTATTACTAGGTGATTATAAAATGGTAAATGCTATCATATCTGCCTATGTCTCGACCAACATTAAGATTAAATGCTGCACGCTACTGCAGCGACCAACAGAGGAGAAGCTTTGCTTAGTTGGAACTTATTGTGCGCACTAACTTTGAGCAAAGCTTCTTATTGAACTCGGCGTGTACACTATCATTCCCAAGAAAGAAATTTATGACAGAGAAACAGAGCCACGGTTTGCGTCTCTTGGTGAGAAGTGCACCAAGGCGCTTGGCTGAAAAGACTTCGAAAGAGTACGTTTACATGCTTAAGTGATGCAGAAGCACTTACGAAGAAGTCTGCCACTGAAGCGTGAACAGTTCCGTACATAACGGCGATGACCTGGTCGACCTGGGTGCGCAATTTGATGTCATCGGGGTACAAGTCTGATTTCGGGGCGTACTTCCGCAACAGGTAGTATACGATGGCCGCGCTGTGAAGCAAATGATCGAATGAGCACGTGCATCACCTGTATACAATGCAAATGAGACAAAAACTGCAGCATTCGCTGTTTAACTTGCATATTCTGCTTCTAGAGAGAAGCTTTCTTCTAACTGCTGTCCCCATTTCAAGCTCCTTATAGCGTTTTCGTGAAATGGCATGCATCAAAGTGATCTAATCAGAATAAACTGACCTAAAAAATGTTTTTTAACGTATCCTTCCCTTGCGTGGTGTGAAATGAATGAAGCAGCATCCCTCCGCCTACCAATAACAGGCAGTAATTTCTACTATGATATATGCCCTCCTAATGTAAAGAAGTATACAGTTTTTCTTGGTCACATTAATGTCAATAAATATGAAAACGCTGACATATGACATTTTGCGCAGCTGTCCACGCTTTTCTTCATTCTCACGCCTGATATTATGTCTGCAAATTATGGTTCGTCCTTCCTATAATATTTTGTTTATGCATGAAAATTACCATAAAAAGCTGAGTAGACAAGTGCGTGTGAATATTGAAGTTTTATTTCATTATTGACTGTCTTTTTAATATGTATATGAACAGTTCGGTTCCTATCTCGGTGCCTCTCAATTGCTGAGGTACGTGGGATCTGCAGATTTTTTTAAAGAAAGCAGTTTTATAGGTTGCGAATAAGATTAACATATATTCTTGTATGAATTAAAAAAAAAGCTGTGAAAAAATCTACAGCAATAAACTCGGTGGGCGTAGCACATTAGAATACTATATTTCTTAAAGAAAGCCATTTTACGCAGTAATAATAAAAACGCTCTACATGTATTTATTCAAGAGTTTCCTCAGTAAGAGCAATTCAGCATTGAGCAGTCCAGTTAGGTGATGACTAATGAACCGCAGCGCATCATTATTGCACGATGATATTTTTTACGGAAAACACTACCATGAAACGGTCGTCTTTTTCTGTATGTGAATACAAGGGCGCGAGCTTGCCTTTCGTAAACAATGAAGCCATCGTCGTCAAGAGCAGGAACCTTGTGAAATGGGTTTATCTGCGAAAAATGTGCACATTACCTCTAATATATACAATTACAAATGTTCTGTATACAGTACAGTAAAGTTGCTGTTGTTTGCAAGTGTCACTTACCTGGCTGGCGTAGTTTTTTATATTCGTTCTTTAACTCTCTTAAACCCGAAGGTCACACGAATGTCGTAATTTAAACCGTCAGGACTGAACGCAGCAGCACTTTTCTCAAAAGGTTGGTGATTGTGTCGCTATAAGGTCATGCTTTTTATATAGGGCGAGAGATTCTTCTGTATTCCAGGCGACGAATCAGGCATGCACATATACCATTGGTGATCATGTGGTGCCATTAGGTTGAATACACGCCAATTATCTGTTGTTTATACCTGTTATATTTCTGTATAAGGCCGTGTAACTCTTTACAAGGAGGAGGAGCAAAAGTTTCTTTATTACAAGAGGGAAAGACGTGGTGGAGAAGGGAGCAGAGGAGCGTACCAGGCGTAGATCCACGCTACCTTCTTGGCCCAATCCAATATGGGGCCCTGGACATCGGGTGTCGAGCTGCACAAAGTAGCTTGCCCCTGTGCCTTTCTATTAATGTGTAGAGGGAGAGGTGGTTGGTTTCGAGTGCACCCTCACATGACGTGATCTTGAATTGGTCTCTTTAGAACAAAATACACAAAGGGGAGGGATATTTCACAAGGTGTATAAGAAGCAGAAGCTCTGGCATTTTTAGCAGTTCTACTCTTGGTATGGACGTACAGTTGAGTAAATTACTTAATATATACCTAATGCCTGAGAACGTATTGGTTAACTTATGTGTAGCACTTTTTTTTCTTACCGGATATTTTGAGTTCAGCAAAGGGCAGCCAGCTGATTTCTCTTTTTTCGCCCGTTCCCCATATTTATGGGTAATAAAGCATTCCCCCGCCTAATTCATACGCGTGTTGCGCGCACCATGTAGACACAGAAAACTTTCTCAAAACGAATGTTACAGTCATGTATCACAACTTCGAGCACTTATTTCCGTTTTTCGTGCAGCGTATTGTCATAAAACGGTATTGGCCCCTTCACCATAGACGCTGAGTATTGTGACCAGATATTTAGTGTTAATAATATCGTAGAAAATTAATATTAGGCGCACGATTGAGTAGAGCAGAATTTATTATAAGGCTTTACAAGCTTAACAGGCCAACCCCATTCGAAGATCGTGTATATCGTCTTCCTTTAGCAGGTTCGCTTTCTGTCACGTAAAATTCGCTTAAGCTGTTCTCCTCACTTTGCTAATAGGAGTGTCATTACCTGAATTTTTACCGTTTACGTAAATAGGTCACGTTGATTAGCAAGTAACAGAAATACGGTGATTTACCTTGAGGTACTGCTCGCTTAGTTGCTCTTTGTGTGCCAGATTCACGTTCTTAACATCCATTGGAACGCCCAGTTGCTTCGCGACCGCGAGCACGAAGCCGCATGGCGGGCTTCCTGGCCAGTTGTACAGAGTAATAGTCATGGCTTTTACGGGCTTAGCGGATTAGTCTGTTTCGAAATGAGCAGGAAGCCGTATAAGGTGACCCACCAGCGAGAGTGCCTTTATAGCGATCACCTGAGCCTGCGAACCTTGTGCCGTCCTGTTACGTGAGCAGAGATCATCATAGAAGACTCTGAGCACTATGAAAGTTACGCGAGTGACGTAGCACTACACCTATTAGCGAGCTAGCAATCTGTCCGTACTGGTCGGATGAGACTTAGCAGGTGGTCTCGTTAAAATGAACGAAGTTCGTCATGATGGCTAATGACTATTAAATTTTGGGCGGATTTGGCTGACGATTTGAATGTGCCTATAGCAATACTCAGCGCAAATAATATTCACAGAGTTAAAGATAGGGTCCATTTCAGTACGCTCACAGCACTAACGTGGCAACCCTCTAACTGAAGCGTAAATAGCGGTAAAACAAACATGGATTTTAAAAGCTGCCCTTAATCTGTGCTGTTACTTTCCATGGTGTTTTTTGTATAGCTCATCTGGCATTCAGTATTGAAAGACGTTCAAGTGAACCATCTTGATGCGGTGATGAATTATATGGGCCTGATTTCGAAACGTCACTAGCTCAGAAAACTAAAGCTTAAGACAAAGACTGAATCCCAGCACCTTGGAGAACTTGCGGTTTTGAATGTTGACGCTGCGGCGAACGTTTTGAAATATTAGAAGTAAACACAACAAAAGACTGAGATTCACTGCTCTAAAGATCTCTGAAAAGAGTGTGTTATTATAGATCTTATTTTGTCATATGATGTCTTTGTTAGAGTAATCTTCAAACTCCAGTGCAGCTTATGTATTTCAGTCATCGATTGCGTCTATCGCGAATGCAGAGATTCAATGAAAATTGGTTATTATAAAAAGTAACATCGCAAGCCACACACAGGGTAAGTCTGTGGGTGTTTTTACGCACTTTACGTATATTTTAACAATGTGTACACAAACAGTTCAACAATTGTTGAAGGCTTAAAACGCAGAGAGCGAAAACGAAAAATGCGAAGGAAGAAACCATGTCGTCTTTATTATGTTAATATAGTGCTAGTAAGACTTTAGTACGAAGTTAGAACTCCCAAATGCTAGCAAAGCCTTGGCCTTGACCTACTCAACGTCTGCAGAGAAACACCCGTCCGTCAAAAGATAAGCACGTGTTTTGCCACATAGTGTAATATCCGGAGCAAGCGCCCTTGGCGGAAAACATGTCCCTCCCATTCTATCTATTGAGGCATGTAGCTGTACGCACCTAACCCCGTTGCGGTATTTCGAAATTGCCTCTAAATGAACTCCCGAGTGTCATGTATTGTACCAATGTTTTTAAGTTTTTTCACGCCTCGATTGCATGCTAAAATTGTATGCTACTACGGTATTGTACAAGAGCTACCCCCTCACCCCACCTATATACAGCATAGCTAAGACGTGCACTTCTGAAGCCTTTTCTTTATTATTTCTGACCAACCATTCAACAACAATATCAGAAATAACCTGCATTTTTTTAAGATTAACGCACTGCTTGTTTTGCACTGCCATACAGCGTGCACGGAGCATAGATATACGACGCACGAAAATTACTACTGCGTATTCGACATCTTCGCGTTTGGACTTCGACGTCTTGGCCTTCGACATCATGGCGTTTAAAAATACGCCGCCTACCCCCCCCCCCCCCCTCCCCGGTGACCGTCTGCTGACTCCGAAGCTTTAGGCTCTTTCCCTTGTTCGTGTCAATTTCTGGAGCCCTCCACTGCGGTGTCTCTCATAATCATATGGTGGTTTTGGGACGTTAAAGCCCACATATCAATCAATCAACCTTGTTCGTGTCGGAAGCGGCCATCCCTTTTGCAGCACACCACTGCAACTTTGCGCTTTTTTGTTTTTGTTTTATTTTTCCTCCCCTCTCTGAGAACATTTTTTAATCACTACCACCTGACTTGAAGTGAAGCGAGGACTGCACTCTTCCCTTTATAGTATTCTCCTTTTCAGACGGCGATCATCAACAAAGACACGCGCCACCACCATGATATGACGTCACCACACACCCCTTCAAAACTAACACGTCAAAGATGATACGGCGCCTTTGAAAAAGATAGGTCCTCCTATCGAAACGTTGGACAGCCAGTCCTGAGGCACTTCACCTGTTCATCCTTTGATTATCCCGTTACTGCGTGTTAATATTACGGCAGCCCAACAAAGCGCGCCGAAACTCCCAATCGGAAGGAGTGTATGAATCTGGCAGGTAGGTCGGTACGGCCTTGCTTCAGGGCAGTCAGCCTAGACTATTTGTTTGGTATTGCTTTTCCAGCTGTCTTTGTGTACGTTGAAAAAGGTATGGTTAGACATCACTGTCAATTAGCCCACGGTAGAGTTTTATTTGAAAGAATAAAAAAAGAGCTACCAGTTTTGGTTGCCTTTATGAATGAAAGATTGCGCAAAATAAGTGAAAAATCCTTCGTCTCATTAAAGCACGTGATTATTGTGAATGCAGAATGCACAAATGGATTCTCTGATATTCAGAAAAAAACGTTACCTAAGACTGTGCTGGGCACAGTTATTATGTTACATTCGCATTGTGGATTCCTTTCCACATCTTATGTGCACGGACACCCACATTGAGTGTCCACGTTTCCAGCACGCTAAAGAAGTTTAGAAATTATGTACAGTTACGTTAAACACTTTCGAGAAAAGTTACCGAGGGCTAATTATTGTCGTTCAAGCTTTACGCGCTTAACGAAAAATTGGTGAAATGAAAGACTTGCGTATATCAAAATAAACATTGCGGACTCTAAAAATAGTTTGTTTTCAATGTGTGAGTAAGAACTATTCATTCAAGCCTAGCATATGAGTTATTTGTTGAGACAACTAGTTAATTGAATAGAAAAATTCATATACGGTAAAACAATTACAAATGTATTGCCGAACAAATGAGCCTATTTATTATGCCTGACTCAGTCAAGCTAAACGTTGCCTGCAAAGTCTAAATTGATTTCTGTAAAAAAATAGCTGTTATGCCATAACTTGTAGTAGGGTACTTGAAGTCAAATGGCAACCCATTGTAACCTATAATGTAAACACATCAGTAATGTTGCGGCGAAGATGATGACGCGTTAGTATCGAAATTGTTTATAAGTCAATCACGTAATTCTACAAGTGCTTTTCGATTCAGTAGATCGAAGCTATATCAATCGGCCGTTTGAGCCCGGCGTCATGAAACTTGGGCTGTGCTTGTATACTCTTCCGATGCTACGGAGTAAATTCACTGGGAATTCGTTTGTACAGACCAGCCGGTCTACCGTAAACATTTTCAGCTAATTGTACGCAGATTTCAATTATTTGGTGCTAACTTTCTTCAAAAGCCTAATAAAAGCTTTGCTGACTGAATGACTTATTTGTACTTGATGTGATAAATTTTGTGGTGTTCATAACCTAAAGAGTAAGAAAAGAGACATGCTGGCATATTTTCTTTAGTCATTACAGATCCATTTTCCCCGCCGGCTCTGCCCGAAAAAAGCTACCGGCCATATAATTGATTCCTTCATTATAGATTCCATTATAGACTCCGTCATATAGCTTGGCTGAAAAAAAAATGTTGCTGTTTCATAAGCGTCCAGTTGTGCTTCGTTAGTACGATGTTGCAAGTGTTTTCTACGAATGTTGCCATGAGTTGCGTCCATTTGTATCCACGTAGAGCACAGCTCACAGAACACTTGCGCTGAAAATTGCGGAGGTTTTGCAAACTGTGTCTTGAACATGCCCAAACTGATGGCTTATCAGCCTCTGGTAACACTCATTCCTAAATGAGAAACTAGTGTTTCCGATTTTTGGGTATGTCCTGTACGAGTAAGTGAGTAAGCGACAGCGCTTACGAAGGTGAGTGGAGGTGTGACGTACGAAATAGGACCTCACTGGCTGAGAGTACCAGCAAGGTATTTCTATTTCGTAGAAGAGAAACAAAGAAATATTAACGCGATGGCATCAATGTGTTCGCTTCACAGAAATTTTGACGTCAATGTCGTTTGTTTCTGAGCGAAAACTTATCTTTGCGTGAGCAAAAAATCTAGAAACACGTAAATAATATAAAAATTAAGAATTCTGAGTCTGCGAGGGAATCGTACACGGTCGTTTGCGCGGCAAGCCGGTGTTCTACCACATAGCCACGCCTTTGCTTGTGAAAGCGAAAATCACTTCCTCTGCTTGAAAATAGGGTCAAATTAACTTTCATGCTTTAGAAATACGTTGGTCCTGTATACACGCTTCACATACAAGAAATGTTGCCGCAATGCCGTATTGCCATAATATATTGCCATCGAGTGTCATAGCATGGGATTATCAAAGTGACCACACTTGAAAGCCAGTAACCCACTGCGAAAGGCACACATGCTACTGCACCCTTAAAGCCATGTATAGTGTATGCATGACAAGTTCGAAAATATTTCATACACTTGTTTTAGGCGTGCACAAAGAGCAGAATATCGCTATCACGTTCAACTCTTAAAAGCGAAGCTTAAGTCTTCTTAAGTTTTATAGGCCGATTTCTGTCATTCCCATTTCCATGAAGTAGTCATTACCATGATAATGATGATCATCGTCATGTTTGGTGCAACTTCTGTCCGCTTCAGGACGAATGCATGTCAAGATGATCTGAGAGACAGTCTTGAGCAAATTAGGGAAGACAAAGTGAAGGTATTTATACAGAAAAAAACTAGTATAAAGAAAAAATAATGACAATACCAGGAAACAACGAGCATCATTGTAGAGAAAGGCACCACAAGATGGGCACTCGAGCACCACCATCTTCCTCATCCTGTAGCTATCTCGAATCTTCCACCTGCCCGTATATTCGCCTAAAAAACCTCTTTACATTTGGTGGAGGTACTGGGTAACCACATCGTCTGTGTCCTGGAACTACGATCCCGCACCCTGCCGTCGACCGTGCAAGTTGACGCTGCCCAACAAACAGTACCTCTCGCGGCCACTACTCACCCCGGCCCGGTTCACCAGCGAGACCCCCTGATCTTTGCGGGCACCGAAGACCAGGATGTCGAAGAGTGGCTGTCGTCATACGAAAAAGTCAGTGGACCCAACAGGTGGGATGACGCTGTTAAGTTGGACACTGT